TATCACTGAGAAACTAAAGCCAGGAGAATAGTGCATCCTTTGGACCCAGGGTTTCTGGGCAGCGAAGCTCATAGACCAGGGGAAGATTGATGACAAGGACCTTCCCCCCAGAGCTGACAGAGAGAGAAAGGCTTCCCCTGGAGCTGGCACCCTGAATTCAGACTTCTAGCCTCCTAGACTGTGAGAGAATAATTTTACCTTTGTTAAAACCACCCACTTGTGGTATTTCTGTGATAACAGCACTAGATAACCAAGACAGTAACTAAGACAGGCCACAATAGTTGGTCCCGGATAGAATGGGAGAAAAACATGAAGCAGAACTCAAATTCTTATTTTTTTTTTAAAAAAAAGGCAGACAAACTGGGACAGTAGAAAACAGAGGACCCCGAGACTATCGCCCTGAGACACCGTTTAAATCTAGAACTGAGTTTATATCCTGAGATCACCTTTTAGAGAAAGAGCAGAGTGGTACACAAAATAAAGGATATTAACCATAAGATCGGAGGTGGTAGCACAGTGGTTAAGAGCTTGGCTGCTAACCAAAAAGTCGGCAGTTCAAATCTACCAGTTGCTTCCTGGAAACCCTACGGGGCAGTTCTACTCTGTCCTGTAGGGTCGCTATGAGTTGGAATCAACTCGATGGCAACGGATTAGATTTTCTGGTTTAACCGTAAGATTGATTCCTACTTAAAAACCATCAATATGAGAACAAAAGGTCAACAGTTTCTCAAAAGCAAAGATGAGAAGATACAGGGACAGGGAAACTAGAGTACTAGAAAGGGAGCAAACAGAACACAATTAATGAGAATGTAGACACATTGTGATAAATGTAACTGATTTCACTGAACAATTTTTGTGGAAATTGTCAAATGGGAACCTAACTTGCTGTATAAACTTTCACCGAAAACTCAATATTATTTTAAAAAAGAAGTAATGGCAGAAAATTCTCCAACTTTGGCAAAAGACACAGACCTACAGATTCAAGGAGCTGAACAAATGGCAAATAAACTCAAAGAAACCCCTTCCAACACACATCATAATTAAAAATTCAGCAAACTAAAGACAAAGTCTTGAAAGCAGCCAGAAAGACATTATCTATAGAGAACCATCAATTTTAATGACAGTAGGTTTCTCGTTTGAAACTACGGAGGCCAGAAGGAACTGGCACCAATTTCAAATCAGAAACAAAAGAACTCTCAACCATGAATTTTATATTGAGCTAACCTTCAGAAATAAAGAGTAAATCTAGGCATTCTCAGATTAAGAGAAACTAGAAGAATGTCACTAGCTGACGTACCCTTAAAAAATGACTACAAAAAGTTCTTCAAACAGAAAGGAAATGATAAACAAAGGAATCGCGGAAACTACAGGAGAAAAAACAATAGAAGGAGAAGAAATACGGGTAAATATAATAGATTATCTTTCTTTCTTCTCATGACTTTTATAAGTACATAATTTCCCTCTTTGTTCATTATCATGTTTTTATTCTGAATTTTATTTAATTTAATAATAATAACATCGTTATCCGTGTATTCTTGTCGTTCATATTTGCCTGGTATATCTTTTTTTCATCACTTTGTTTTTAATTTTTCAGTGATATTTTGTTTCAAGTGTATCTTTTGCAAAGAGCATATTGCTGGATGTTATTTTTTATTCAAACAGATTCTCTGCCTTTGATTGGTTTAACTCATTTGCATTTATTGTGATAAATGTTGTGACAGGTCTTATTTTAATATTTTCTCTTTCATAGTTACTTTTTGTTTCTTGTTTTCCTTTTTTTCTGACCTTCCACTGAATAATAAATCCTTTTCTTCTGGTTTGAATGGTATACTCTATTTTTATTCTTCTGCTGCTTGTACCTAATTTATTAAAATCCATGCCGAAGTTATTTTTCCTTATCTATTTCTTAAGCTTGTGAATGTATATATCCTCCCCTAATCAAGACAAATAACTTAGCAACTCTCACTTCATTTCTGTCTTTTCCCCTGGCCCCTACCATGGAATTATCTAAAATTTTAGTGTTGGATGATTATCACTGTAGTTGGTGTCACCTTCCTCACTACCTCTGATTCTTGCTTATTAGGTCAACAATAAACTCTTTACCAACTTTGTCTTACCCTTACTTTATATCTTGAAGCATCCTCTTGGGTTTTTTTTTTTTTTCCTTCTTCTCCTTCTCCTTCTTCTTCTTCTTGCTGAAGTACTCTTTCCAAGACTATTTCCAAGCTCTTGTATGCAAAACGTAAAATTCTAGATTCAAAGTTCTTTATTTTTTACAATTTAAAAAAATCAATATATTTTCTTCTTTCAGTCAGTGATGCTGTTAACAAGTCAGATTTATTCATTCAGCAATTATTTATTGAGGGATCACAAAATGCCAGACACAGTTTTTAACACTGGGGATTCAGCATTAAACAAAACAAAAACAAAAACAAAATGATATTTGGTGTTTTGTAGATGACCTGTGTTTTTTCTCTGTATGCTTTTAGAATTTCCTCTGTCTCTTACATTCTTAGATTTTGTGTTGTTTGATGCTCCAGGAGCACTTTCAAGCTAAAGTCTTTAACTTTTCTTTATTTCTCCATAATTCTTCATCATCATTTCTTCATATATTTAGTCCTCTCTTAATATTTTCTTTCCTTCTGGGACACTGTATAAATATTTAGTTATCCTTCATATTGTTTAACCCTTCTGTCATATTTTTCAACTTTTTATCCCCTACTGGTATCTTCTCAAAGAGTTCCTTGACCTGATAGTCCAGCTTTCCAAATCTCTCTTCAGTTGTGCATATTCTGCTATTCAACCCATCTTTTGAGTACCTTATTTCAACTATTATATTTTTCACATTTCACTTTTTTTGTTTTGATGACAAATTCTTGCTTCATATTTCCTATATATCCCCATATCTCTTTTAGGATAGCTTTTTTATTTTTACCATAAATTGTCCAATAATTCTGCTTCATCTGTTGTAGATTGTTCAGTTTTTTGTTTTCTTTTATAGAAGTTGAATTCCTCAATTTTCTGTTTTTCCTTGTGAGTTCATATTCCCCATGTCCAGATATACGGTGGTAATGCGGAGAGGGAAGGGAATCAAAGCCCTAGACTGTGTCCTACATCTCCTTCAACTCACTAGGAAGGGCACAAACTATACATGAATTGTATGTATGTGTGTGGTCGTGATGTTGAGTTATTCTCAAAGTGAGACTCTATTGCTAAAATCTGGGCAAGACCATCCCCCATTTTCCACCTCTGCCACTGCACACCAGGTGACTTTGCCCCTCAGTGACCCTCTCAACTCCACCTCTTTTTCTGCTGAAATCCTCTGGCTCTGTGTGTGTGTGTGTGTGTGTGTAACAGAGGTGGGAGGAAGGTGAATAAAGTCACTTTTTGGAGTGGGTCTGGTTGAATGTATTGCTATTCACTCCCCACTCAATCCAGCTCCAAGGCTATGTTGTGCAATGGTGAAAGAATGGGCAAAGATTTACCCAGAGCAACGTGTGAATGGACAGAAAAGTACACAGTATCACTAAAAAGCACCCCATTGCTTACAGCACCTCTCCCCAACTCCCCTGGAGCATCTAGGACTCTTCCATTGCAGCTGCCATTCTCTCCCTATCTACACACACACACACACACACACACACACACACACACACACTCCCATACACACACATCCTAGGACCAGCTGTAATCTGTCTTCCAGAGGATTTCCAATCAATTTTTCAGCAGTCCCTCAATCCAACGGCCTCCCTCTTCCAGAACATCTCCAGGTTAAGGTTTGGGAAAGGAGCTAGCTGTACCTTAGGATGCTATATTAGTTACATTTTGCTGTGTAACAATCATATGACATAAAAAACCCAAAACCAAACCCATTGCTGTCAAGTTGATTCCCACTCATGGAGACGTGATATGTTAAAGAGCAGAACTGCTCCATAGGGTTTTCTTGGCTGTAATCTTTACAGAAGCAGATGACCAGGTCACTAGGCCTTTCTTCCGTGGTGCCACTGGGTGGGTTCAAATCACCAACCTTTCAATCAGTAGTTGAACACAAGTGTTTGTGCCACCCAGGAACTTGTGTTACAATATTACCACGTATTGAATGGCAAGATGCAGCACACATTTATTATCTCACAATTTCTGTAAGTAAGGTTCTGAGCATAGCCTAGCTGGGTCATCTGCAGCCTGCTATCACGGTACCAGCCAGGACTGTGTTCTCACGTGAAGGCTCTACTAGGGAAAGAGCACACATGGTTGTTGGCAGGATTTAGGTCCTTGCAGGCTGTGGGACTGAGGGCCTTGCCGTCTGTTGGCTGGAGGCCACTCTCAATTCCCTGCCACATGAACCTCTCCAACATCACCACTTGCTTCATCAAAGCCAGCAAAGGAGAGTCTCCTGGCAAGACAGACATTAGAATCTCAAGTCACCTTTGCCATATTCTGTTGGTTAGAAGCAAGTCGAAGTTCCTACCCACACTTAGGGGAGGGGATTACATCAAGTTATGAGTACTAGGAAACACTAATTCGGTTTGAACTTCTCAGCAGCTCGAAGCATTGGGCTGTTGTCACAAGCGTAGACAAAGCCCGGGGAGAGGGAGTGACTTGGATCCGTCTCTGTACCATCCAAGCCTTCTCTTACCCTGAAGAACCAACACCTGCGCTGCGGACCCCACATTATCGCGAGAGGAAGGGCTACCTGATCATTCGAGTCTCTTAATCGTGCCACGCGTGCCCCCCTGCTGGGAAACGGAGTCCCGCGACGTCCACCGCCTTCTGGGAAACGTAGTTCTGGAGCGGGACCAGGCCTGCCAGCCTCGCCCAGCTCCCTCTTACGCATGCGCGAGTCCGCGCAGGCCCGAGAAGTTCGTAGCCTTTGTCAGAGCGGCGCTGCTCCTCTCGGCTCTGTCTAGGAGTGGCTCGGGGGAGGGGGTCATTCAGTGCCAAGTCGGGGCTGGAGCGCGCGTTTCTGAGAGTGGCCTGGAGGCCAGAAGCTGAGTCCCCATCTCCTCACGCTGCGGCCTGAATCTCTCCCGCGGCTGCGAAGCCTGCGCTCTCCGACCCAGCGGGTCCACCGCGCTGTACCGGGACCGACGGGCGGGGCGAGCGGCGCGGACGGGACGCGGGTCGGCGGCGGAAATCCTGAGCGCCCCTGTGCCTTGGCGGCGACGCGGCAGCCCCAGCGCCGCCTCTTCCAGCCACTCAGTCCCCAGGACAGCTCCTGCGACAAAAAACCTACCGGCCTCAGGGATGCTGCCCCCGGGTTTCCAGGCCCCACCTCCGTAGGACCGAGCCAGGCTCCAGGACGAAAGCTGACCTAACGGACACCTTCCAGAAGAGTCCCCAGACGACCAGCTGGAAGGAGGACCGCGAGGGCGCGGGGACTTCTGACTGTTCTGTCAGAGAGGTTTGTTAGAATCTCAGACGGGGAGGAGAGCTGGTGACCATGGAGACAGATTTGGCTGAAATGCCTGAGAGGAGAGGTGAGAATTACTGAAGGGTTGTCCTGGGGTCATGGAGAAGCGCAGTTCTTCCTCCAGAGTGAAAAAACACTTGCCTCGAGAGGCGGCTTTTGGCAGAGACGGCTGTCTCCGTTTCCTGGGGGTTGAATGGGCTCTTTGAGAGTGCAGGGCTTGCTACGGTATCACCCGCCTTCCCGCTTCTGCTGGGCGCACAAAGAACCCTTCAAAACCACCCCAAAGCGTGAGCGAAATGTTAGCCTCTGAAGCTGAGCATAGCCACAGTTACTTTATTTTCTCACACGTTCTTCCTCTCAAATGATTATGCCATCCTAGTCTCCGTGAGTGGGTCTGAGAATTCAGCTTTTCAGTTAGCAGAGAAATTTTTCTCACACCTGTTATCCCACTTTGTCCGCGTAACAGCCCTATGATTTTAATAGAGCAAAGGTTACGAAGGAGAAAACAGGCATAAAAGTCAGTAACTGACTTTCAGTTCTTGGAGTTTGGTAAGTGACGGTCTGCATCAGAATTACTCTGTAGTGCTTGTTAGAATTTTAGATTTCTAGATTGCACCCCAGACTCAACCAATGATAATTATTTGGAGATGTGGTCCAGGAATCTATGTTTTAAATAAGCTTCCAGGATGATTTTTGAAAACCATAAGTCTACCTTTCTGATATTAATTTAGTGTAGATTAAGCTAGGAAATAAACTGACTTGTTCTAATTTCTAGACCAGAGAATGCAGCCGTCCAGAATGATAAAGCCATAGGGACTAAATTTAAGCCCCAAGTAGCAACATTCCTGGACATTCTCCACCATTCTGGGAGGTAGTAGAGTTGTTTTAGGCCCCTTTCAGCGTTAATTTTTGTAGGGAGTATAGGGATAGCACCATTAATATGCTAGAGGGATTTTTAGACTGGTAAGTCTTAGTCACTGGATAGTTCTAGGCTCCATCTTCACTACTTTCTTGTTCTTAGCTCTGCCTTCCCAGGATTCTCCCCTTTCCCAAGAGAGGACCACAGAAGAAGTGGCAGCTTTGTGCCTAACAGCAAGATCACAGGTGAGCGTGAGTTTCTACTGGTTACTGAAATTCCACCTTATTTCTCAGAGTACAGACGCACTCTTCTTTTTGGTGTGGAGTTTCTTTCTGTGCTAGAGCACATCTAGAGAGCTAAGTTCTAATTCCAAGAGACTACTCATAGTCGCTAATGGAATCAATAGAAAATGTTTTCTATTAATCCATGGCACCTTTCTTCTGCAACTAGTTTTTATTGCTAGTGAACAAGAATGAAAGGAGCATTGAGCCTACCGTGCTGACTTCTGTGCTTGGTAATGTGGAAAACTTTCAAAAGAAAGTGTGCATACCTTTTAAAACTCTCGCTTCCCTAGGGAAAACAACATACCCATGACAGTTAAGTAGGAATTTAAAAAAGCATCTTAAGTGCTGAAGTGAATTATAAAAACAAGTATCAAATAGTTCAGAGGAACGCAGAGATGCTTATGGAAGACCTAGTTCAAAGAGTTACAGTTAGAATCCAGCCCTCCAAGATGATGAACGCTGAAGTATTTTAGGGGTGAAGTGTAGGTCTGCAACTCACTTGCAAGTTTTTGTCCCCTTCACCTCAAGAGCAAATATTAAAAAATTCTAAGATTTAGGTGGTGGATATATTATATGAGTGAACAGTGTATTAGTCTTTCAACTTTTCTGTGTGTTTGAAATTTTTATTAAAAAAAAAAAAAAACAGTTGGGTAGATAAAACATGTCCTCCGTGTTTTGGTATACTGCAACCCAAAGATTCCACAATTAGCCTTTCTCTCTGCTACTATAATCCAAGGTGTGAACAAAGAGTGGATATTGGACACTGTTAATATTTGTAAAAGTGACTTCTCAGAGTTCTTTATATACTTGGATGGCACAAATGATTTCATTTGACCACTGACCTAAAAGTTGGTGGTTCAGACCCACCCGTGGCACCACAGAAGAAAGGTCTGGTGATCTGCTTCCATAAAAATTACAGCCAAGAAAACCCTATGGAGCAGTGCTACTCTGTAACACATGGAGTCGCCATGAGTCAGACTCAACTCCATGGCAATGGATTTGGTTTGGATTTATATACTTGCCTGTCTCCGTTGTTTTCTCAGCTGTCCTACATTAGTCAAGAAGCTTTAAGTTGTAGCTGATGAAAACTCAGCCCAAACTGGCTTAAGCAAAAAAGGGGTATTTATTGACTAACATAACTGAAAAATCCAGGGGTTCACGTTCAGCTGGATAGGTCTCCAGCAGTAACAGTAGCACCTAGTCTCTCTCTCCATTTTGCTGACCTCTTCTTCTGTTTCCATAGCTGTCAGTCAGGCTTTTCTCCTAGTGTGGCTCCTAATAGGTTTAGACTTACATATTCCCATATTGAAAACCAGAGAAAAAGGGCAGCTTCTCTCCCAGTCACTCTACTGTAAGCCCTGGGGTTAGCTCTAACGGTATTATGCCCATACCTAGACCACTCACTGGTCAGATCTCAGTGTAATTCTCTAATTGGTCAGACCTGTGGAGTGTACCTGTACATACACGTCCCACCCATGAGCCAGGGATGGAGTCAGTACTGCCTGAACTACACAGACTAAAGTGGTCAGGGATAGTGGCCGTAGGAAAATCAGGGTACAGGCACCAGAGGAATGGTAAATGCTTTATATATATTGGTGCTTCAGTATTAAATTCAAAACTATTAAAGCTTCGGGATGGATTGAGCCTTTCATGGAAATAAAAGATCCTTCTTTGTTCTTTTGTGTTGCATTTGGTTTTGCTTGATGCTAACACTACAACTTTCTTACTAGAATGTGTCTGGGATATTTTTTACCTTATTAGATTTAAAAGTAATAAATAAAAGTTAATTCTCGCCCATTTTAACAAGGCAAACAGCACAAATGTTAAAGGCAAAAGTAATACTACCCTCATTTCTCTCTACTGAGGTTAACAGTTTAATGTGTATTTTTTGTTGAGCGCATACTACTATGTTCAGATGTGGTATACTATATTTCCATCCATTGTTTTCCCCACCCCAATCTTTCAATATAATCTTGTTTGGGTTTCTATCATGTAAACAGGCTAAAGCACTTTTTTTTTAATCCTTTTGTCTTTATAGGGAAAGTTAATCCATTTACATTTAATTTGATTATTCCTATGTTTCAGATTTTTCTTGCCATGTGATTTTTATATAGGGTTGTTGTTTTAGGTGCTGTCGAGTGCATTTTGACTTGTAGTGACCGCATGTGACAGGGTAGAACTGCCCCATAGGGTTTTCTAGGCTGTAATCTTTACAGGAGCAGATTGCCAGGTCCTTTTCCCACAGATATGCTGGGTAGGTTTGAACCACCAACCTTTCGGTTAGTGGCCAAGTGCTTAACCTTTCATGCCACCAGGGCTCCTTTGCCATGTGATTTTATAATTGTTTACTGTACTTTGTTTCTTCTTTTGTCTTTTCTGTTCTTTATGCACTGATTTGCATTTTTGTTGTTCTGATTATTCAAATGGTTTAGAAGTTAATTCCCACTTGAATGTCAATTTACCTATTTATATGCAGATTCTGGAAACCCTGGTGGCATGGTGGTTAAGAGCTACAGCTTCTAACCAAAAGATTGGCAGTTCAAATCCACCAGGTGCCCCTTGGAAACCCAATGGGGCAGTTCTACTCAGTGCTATAGGGTCTCTATGAGTCAGAATCAACTTGACGGCAATGGGTTTTTTGGGGTTTTTTTTTGGTATATCATATATCAGAACTTCATGCCTTTTTATGACTGAATAATATTCCATTGTATGTATATACCATATTTTGTTTATCTGTTCATCTATTAATAGACACTTACGTTGTTTCTACCTTTTGGTTATTGTAAATAACACTTAAATGAACTTTTGTGTACCGAATCTGTTTGAGTCCTTGCTTTCAAGTCTTTTGGGTATATACCTAGGAGTGGAATTGCTGGGTAATATGGTAATTCTATGTTTAACTTTTTGAGGAACCACCAGCTATTTTCCTCAGCAACTGCACCCTTTTATGTTCCCACCAGCAGTGAACGAGTGCTCCAGTTTCTCCACATTCTTACCAACACTTGTTATTTTCTGCTTTTTTTGATGATAGCTATTTTAGTGGATGTGAAGTTATATCTCATTGTGGTTTTGATTTGCATTTGCCTAATGACAAAGAATGTTTAGCATCTTTTCATGTGCTTATTGGCCACTAGTAAATCTGCTTTGGAGAAATGTCATTTGAAGTTGTCTTAGGCTGGGTTCTCTAGAGAAGCAAAACCAGTGAAGCACATACATGTATATATAAAAAAACCTGTTGCCATCTAGTTGATTTTGATTCATAGCGACTCTATCGGACAAGCGTAGAACTGCCCCATAGGGTTTCCAAGGAGCGCCTGGTGGATTCGAACTGCCGACCTTTTGGTTAGCAGCCGTAGCTCTTAACCACTATACCACCAGAGTTTCCATATATATACACGTATACCTGTGTGTGTGTGTGTATATATATGTATGTGTATGTATATATGTAGAGAGAGATTTATATCAAGGAAATGGCTTACATGGTTGTAGAGGCTGGAGAGTCCCAAGTCCATGGATCAGGCGTCAGGCTGGAGGCTTCTTCTGACGCACGTAGCTACAGGGACTGATGAACCCAAGATCAACAGGTAAGGTGGCAGGCTGTTGGCTCAAGTCCCAAGAACCAGAGGTCAGATGATGATGAGCTAGATGCAAGATTCAGTGCAATCAAAAGCCAAAGAGCTTTGCCAGAAAGTCCATATATATTGGATGCAGGCCACACACCCAGGGAAACTCCCTTTCAACTGATTGGCTGCTCATAGCAGATCTCATCATGGAGGTGATTACATCATTACATAACTGTCAGATGATGTCATAACTGCTAAACCACTGAGACTCATGACCCAGCCAAGTTGACACACAGACTTAACCATCACAGAAATCCTTTGCCCATTTTTGAACTGGCTTGTTTGTTTTTTGTTGTTGAAGCTCTGTATATATTCTGGATATTAACCTCTAATATAATTTGCAAATATTTTCTCCCATTCTATAGGTTGTCTTTTTTCCTCTCTTGATAGTATCCTGATGTATGAAAGTATTTAATTTTGATGAAGTCCACTTTATTTTTTTCTTTTGTTGCTTGTGCTTTTAGTTTCATATCTAAGAATCTATTGCTTTTTTTCCCTCTGCCTACATTTTGTTTACTTTGCCAGCTTAACATTGTTGACTTACCATTTCATGTTATAACTTTTTATTTCCCAGAAAAATTGTAGTTTCTCAAGGGAAAAACCATGGCCTGTCTTCTGGTTCTCATGTTGAATCTAGCACAGTTAATCAGTTACATAATTGATACCCAGTGACTTTATGTTATAATAGTCACAATCTGAATACTATTAGAATACTTTTCATATATCATAGTCACTCCCCCTGTTGAATGTATCTTATGCCTCTGCTCCAGGGCCATGGAAGTGAGATTATTGAGTGAAAGATGATAAACATATGTTTTGTGCTTTAGGAATCAGTGACATTCAAGGATGTGGCCATGGATTTCACCCCAGAGGAGTGGGGAAAGCTGGATCCTGCACAACGGGATGTGATGCTGGAGAACTATAGGAACCTGGTCTCACTTTGTAAGGATGAGTTCTCATTGTGACTGAAATCTGCCTACTTTTATTGAAAGTAAAATAGCTTAACAAAGCCTTCACTTTGCTGTTCAGAAATCATAAAGCTTTAGTCCCTTTGGGCCTAGAAAAATGTAGTTTTTCTCTACATTGTTGGTGAAATGTCGGTGCATATTGTATATCAGGGCTTTTTGGATTCAAGTGTCAGAAACCCAATTCACACTGCTTAAAAGGAAAGAAGGTTTGATACAGGCAATCAAGTATGTCATCAGGAATTTCTTTCATTTTTTTCTATCATTTGGCTTGGCTTTGCCCAATATTGGCCTTATTCTTTGGCTCTCCCCATGTGGCAAAAATGGCCAATGGCAACTCTAAGGTTAAATTACTCTTCTAGTTGGGAGCTAAGCAAAAAAAAAAAAAAAAAAAAAAAAAGCTACTTACATCCTGGGAGTTTCAGCAAATCACAGAGAGGGCTCTGAGAGTCTCAAGATAGGGTCATATGCTGTCATTGAAACAATCACTATAGCTAGAGAGATGGCTTATACTCCAGCCAGTTCTGGATCATGTGCCCACCATTCTGTGTATGTACACATACATACGTGTATTTGTGTGTAAAGGCTGTTAGCCCTGCCAAGCTTTATGTAATGAATTCCCCAAGAAAGTGAGATATAGTAACTAAAAGAAAGGTGGGAAGGGGAGACATCAGAAGACAGAAACTTTAACTGCTGCAGTCCCAGCTTTGTGGTGCTGCCTCTAAGCTTCCAATTTCTCCATCTTTCCTAAACTAAGGACTAATCTGCAATGTCTCTGAAATTTCCTCATTCAATAGAGAAAAAGAAATTCTCTCCTTTTTTGACAGGAGAAAACATTTGTCTTTTTAAACCAAGGTATACTCCTTATCAGGTCCAGGCTCTTCCTGCAGATATTTTAAGCTCCCTTTAGTGATCCATCCTCCTATACTCCAGGTCTTCCTGTAATATCCTCTTTTCTCTTTAGATCAAGGTGTTTGGGACTATGCTGCAGGATAAACTGTTGTATCCATCACAAATAGCTGAGTCTCATTTCTTTCTTTTTAATATGTGCAGGGCTTCCAGTTTCCAAAGCTGAGAACTACAATTTGGAGAATGGAAAAGAACCATGGATGTTTGAGGGAAAAAAAACCAAAAGCAGCTATTCAGGTGAGTCAGAAAGATGGGCGTCTTCAGAAATAATAGCCCAACAGCACTGCGAAGGAGTGGCATTTACCAGTTGTTTAATAAATAGTATTAGAAGTATCTACATGCCTTTATTTTTTTTCCTATTTTATGTTAAATTACAAAACATTTCAAATACAGAAGTCTAGAAAGTAACAACACGTGTCTGCAACCAAGATTACACAGATGCTAATATTTTGCCCTATTTGCCTCTTCTTTCTCCTTTAACTTTTTATTGCAGTATAAAATATATAAAGGGGAAATAGCATAAGTGCATTTTTGTGTATTTTCACAAATTGAACATATTTATGTAGCTTGATAAAGAACTAGACCTTACTATCATCCTAGAGTGGAGCCCTGGTGGTGTAGTGGTTAAGAGCTGCAGTGAGCTATGGCTGCTAACCAAAAGGTCAGCAGTTCGAGTCCACCAGCTGCTCCTTGGAAACCCTATGGAACAGCTCTGCTCCATCCTATAGGGTCACTATGAGTCAGAATCGACTCGACGGCAACAGGTTTTTTTTATTACCCTGGAAGAACCATGGTGCTGTCTTTCAGTCACTACTTCCTCTTGCTCCAAGAGTAACCTTATCCTGACATCTAATACCATACATTAGTTTTGACTGTCTTTGAACTTTATAAAATGGAATCATATTTCATGTACTCTTGTATCTGGCTTCTTTCACTGAACATTAGCTGTAAAATTCATCCATGCTGTTACATGTAGTATGTAGCTTGTTCATTCTCATTGTTGTACAGTCTTCCATTATGTTAATACCAGTTTATCCATTCTCCTGAGGATGGGCATTTGAGTAGTTTCCACTGCTGCTAGAAATGTTCATAGTGCTGCTGTGAACATGGTTTACATGTTTTTTGGTGAGCACACGTATATAATTTCTGTTGGAAACGTATGTAGTAGTGAAATTGCTGGGCCACAGGGTAGGTGTATCTTCACCTTTAGTGTTGTTGTTAGTTGCCATTGAGTCAGTTCCAACTTATGGTGACTTTATGTATAACAGGATGAAACATTGCCCAGTCCTGTGCTATCTTCATGATCATTGGTATGTTTGAGTCCATTGATAAGTAGATACTGCCAGACAGATTTCCAAGGTCACTACCAATTTACACTCCCACCAGCAGAGTGTAAGAGTTCTAGTGGTTCTCACCAACAGGTGATAATTTAACTTTATTTTAGCTATTCTAGCAGGTGTATTGTCTTTTACTTTTTAAGAAATAAAATATTACAAATTTAGTCAATGTCCTTTCGTACTCTTTCTCTGTAGAGCTAACTACTATCCTAAAGTTGGTATGAATCATTCCCATGTTTGTGTATGTATGTATGTTTATGTTTGTATACACACACATAATATGTACATAAAATACATACATTTTCTTACGTTGAGTATTTTTTTAGTTTGATTATTTTTAACTTTATATTGTGTTTTGAGATTAATGTATGTTAATATATATGAATTGTGTCTATTCACTTTAACTACTAAGTCCCTTGTATAAATAAACTGTTTACTTTCACTTTTTTTTTCTATTAGTAACAAAGTTGCAATGATGATCCTTTTATTTACTCCTTATGTTCATCTGTAAGAGTTGGTTTGGGAAGAAGACTTGCTGGATCTTAAAATAGCATGTTTACCTTTCTAAGAATTGAGGGTCCCACCAACAGTTGATGTTACCAGCTTTACTAATATTTGTTAATCTGATGGGTGTGAAATGATATTTCAAGTTTTTAAATTTATATTTAAAATCTCTCTGATTATAAGTGAGTTTGAGGATTTCATAAGTTAACTAGCTGTTCTGATTTTTTTTTTTTTTGTGAATTACCTCTTGATTTCCTTTGCCTATTTTTAACAATTGGACTGTTCATCTTCTTAATTTTTTTGGAGCTGTTTATATATTTTAGATACTAATACATGACAGAGGTAGCATTACATATCAATAAGAAAAAATTATTTTTTCCAATCTGTGGCTTGTTTTATGGTATCTTATGCATATAGAATTTTAAAAATTTAATGTCAGATCATCAGTATTTAAGTATATGCTTTTTATGTATGGTGTGAAATAGGGAACTAATTTAATTTTGTCTTTTTCCATACTTAAAATAGTCTCAGAATCATTTATTGAATAATACATCTTTTCTCACTGATTTGTAGCTTTTGCTACTATTGAATATGGTAACTTTTGTTTAAATTAAGTTTTCTAATTGTCTATTGTTAATTTGTAGGAAAGGAGCCCTGGGGGCAGAGTGGTTTAGCACTTGGCTACTAACCGAAAGGTTAGCAATTTGAACCCACCCAGTGGCTCCACAGGAGAAAGATCAGGCAATCTGCTCCCATAAAGATTACAGCCTAGAAAACCCTATGGGGCTGTTCTACTCTGTCACAGGGGGTCACTATGAGTCAAAGATCAACTTGATGGCACCCAACAACAACAATTTATAATAAAGCAATTGATTCTTGTATACTAATCCATTAGCCTCGTTTAAGTCCAGTTAGTTCTATTAATTAGCTATAGAGCCTCTAAGTTTTCTATGTAGATAGTCATGTAGTCTCTGTCTTATTTAAGGTTCCCTAGAGAAACAAAAACAGAGAGAGAGATTGATTTTCTTTAAGGAATTGGCTCACACAGTTGTGGGAACTGGCAAGTCCAAAGTGTGTAGGGCAAGCGGCAGGCTGGAAAGTCCTGCAGACTTGGGTCCCAAGACCTGTAGGTCAGGTGATGGAAAGACCGCACAGTGAAGAGAGAGAGAGTTCTGCCAAAATATCTATGTATAGTCTGGAGGCAGAACACACCCTGAGGAAACTCCCTTTTCAATTGATTAATTACACAACATTAGATTACATTTGAAAGATCATTACATTTTGTTGCATTACATTGCATTATCAAACAGCAGCTAGACTAGTGATTGGCCAAACCGCTGGAAAACATAGCCTAGCCAAGTTGACACATAAAATTAACCATCACAGTCTCCAGATAATATTGGTTTCTTTCTTCTTTTCTAATCCTTGTATATTTTATTTCTGTTCCTTTTCTTACTGTTTTGTCTTGGATTTTCAGAATAATGTTGAGAAGCAGTAGTGATGGTGTCTTTTTCTTGTTCTTTAAATGACACGCTGTTATTAAATCACTGTTAAATGTTTACTGTAGATGTTTTGGTACATAACCTTTTATAAAGTTCCCTTCTATTCCTAGTTTGCTAAGTTTTTTTTTTTTTAAATGTTGAATTTTATTGAATGTTCTTTGTGCATATGTTGATATGGTCATATACTTTTTAATATGTTTATGTGGTGAATTACATCAATAGGTTTTCTGAAGTTAAATAATGTTTGCATCTCTGGTCATAGGATGGTTATTTTTATACTTTGATATATTTTGCTGTTATTCACTTTAGAAATTTTGTGCCAATAGTCAAAAATGAGATTGGCCTAAAACTTTTTTTTCTCGTATACATTTGGTATTGAGGTTATATTAGTCTCACAAAATTAGTTAAGGAGCTTTCTCTCTTTTTTACTTCTCTGAAACTGTATAAATTAGTAATTTTTTTTGTTTCTGGAAGGTTTCACCAAGTGCTTAAAAAGCCACTTGGGCATGTAAAAAAAAAATTTTAACCGTAGATTTAATATCCCTTTTTTTGGAAGTTTTTTGCTGTTAATTTTTTTTTCCTAGGAAATTGTCTTATCATGAGTTCCTAATTTAAATAGAATGAAGTATTTATAATGTTCTCTTGTGATTTTTAAATCTCTGATCTGTTCTCATGATTTCTGATTCTGCTTTATCTCTAGTCATTTTACCTTTTTCTTTCCAAATATTGTTTTATTTGTATTCGATCTTTTTCCCCCAATCTCAGCAGTTTATCTATATTGTTAGTATTTTCTTTTTCGTTAATTTAGACTCTATTATTTCCTTCCTTCTGCTTTTTAATACTTGATGTCTTTCTAACACCTTCATTTGAAAGATCAGTTCATTAGTTTTAAGTGTTTCTAATAAAAGCAATTAAGGCTGTGCATTTCCCTTTTAAGTACTCTGTGGAAGTCATTGACATACAGAGGTATTTCAAGCCATGAGACTGGGTAAGGAAAGTGCTTTACAAAGGATGTGGTGAGCAGGAGTTTGAAGTACTGCAGAGGGGGAATAAGATAGGGACAGAAGAACATCTGTTGGATTTGGCAACATGAAGTCACCTGCTAACTTGACAAATGCTGTTTCAGGGGAGTGGAGGGAACAGAAAACAGATTGGAATGGAATAAGGAGACAATGGGAAATGTGGAAGTGGAGGTCACCTTCTTCCTCTTCTAATTTCTGTCTTAAAGGTGAAAGTATTTCTTTTCATCCTTTACTGTAAAAATATGTATGATACAACATTTGCCATTTCAACATTTTTCACGTGTACAATTCAGTGATACCAGTTACATCAGTCATGTTGTGCAACCATCACCAATATTCATTGCCAGATTTCCACCACCATAAAACAGAAACTTAATGCTTCCTAAACAATGCTTCCCCCTTTCTACCTCCCTCCCCTAGTAAACTTTGGTCTCTATACATTTGGAGCCCTGGTGGCGCAGTGGTTAACAGCTTGGCTGCTAACCAAAAAGGTAGGCAGTTTGAATCCACCAGCCACTCCTTGGAAACCCTATGGGGCAGTTCCACTCTGTCCAGCAGAGTCATTATGAGTTGAAATTGACACGATGGCAACAGGTTTGATTTTTTTCTTTTTTTGTTGTTCTGTACATTTTGTTGCCTGTTATAGGTATTTTATATAAGTGAGATCACATAATATTTGTCCTCTACTTCATTCAGCATAACGTTTTCAAGGTCCATCTATGTCATAGCATGTATCAGGACTTCTAAATGTATTTTTAATTATATTCTCCTTATAAAAAAGGTTAAATAATACAAGCAAAATGAATTCTCCCTTGATTACTTCTCCCATCCTCAGTCTCCCCCTCCACTGATACCATTTTTATGATAAGTGG